GTCACGCGAGTGGCGGTGGGCTGGCAGGGCAGCGACTGCAGCATCGATGCTGGACCCGCCAGCCTGAGCAAGGAACTGGACGACCTGGAAAAGGAGTGGAGCAAGATCTGGAGGGTGCAGTGCAGCCACGCCGAGTTGGAGTGGCCGACCGACCTAGGTGAGCGCCCCCCCAGGCCCAGCTGCGAGGTGATGCGGGCAGTCCTGAGGTCCTTCAGGAAGGGCACGGCCACGGGTTTCGAGGCGATCAAGCCGAGGCAGCTGCTGGAGCTCAGCGACGAGGGGATAGAGACCCTCATCGACATCGTGGTGGCGGTCGAGCAGGCCGCGGAGTGGCCGCAGATCCAGAGCAAGATCGTGTTCTTGGCCAAGAGGCTGGGCGGCGTGCGCCCCGTGGCCATCGTGCACGTCCTCGCGAGGGTGCAGACGAGGTTACGCAAGCCCCTGGCGGAGGAGTGGGAGCGCAGGAATGATCGGCCGTTCTTCTGGGCGGCGCGCGGCAGAGGCTGCGAGAGGGCAGTCTGGCAGCAGGCCGTGGAGTGCGAGTGGGCGACAGCGAAGGGGCGCGAAGCTGGCGATGCATCCAGCTGGGTCGCGGCCCTCATCCTCCTGGACCTGCTCAAGGCGTACGAGCAGGTGCAGCATGGGCGCCTCATCCAGGCCGCCCAGCGGACGGGCTTCCCGCTCTGGCAGCTCAAGTTGCAGGTGAGCTTGTATCGAGCGCCCAGGTGGCTGGCGCGGGACGAAGCCGTCAGCAACGCCATCTGCACCGAGCAGGCGGTGCTGCCTGGAGACGGGCTGGCGACGCTCATGCTCAAGATGCTGCTGCTGGAGCCGCTGGACAAGCTTCAGGAGCTGGTGCCCACGCTGGCGATGTCGGTGGTCGTGGATGACATCATCTTGAAGAGGGTGGGCGGCTTCAGGCGGACAGTCAATGACCTCACGCTGGCGGCCAGACATCTCAAGGTACTGCTCGGCGAGGCCGACCTGGAGATCGCGGCGAAGAAATCCAGGGCGCTAGCGAACGTGCCAGCAGCGAGGCAGGAGCTCGAGAAGCGCCTGATGAAGCCGCTGGGGGTGCGCGCCACGGGGCAGGAGAGGAACTTGGGGGTCGACTTCAGTGGGGGCAAGAGGATAGGACGGGCTGTTCGCCACGACAGGATGGCGCAGGCGAGAGGCAGACTGCGCAGGATCAAAGTGCTGCAGGTGGTCAAGACCAAGCGGAAGGCCACCAAGAGGATCGTGAAGACGGGGCTGCACCCATGCATCGGGTACGGCACGGCCATCACGGGCTGCACGGAAGGGGAGCTGGACCGCGCCAGGACCCTCACGTTCGTCGCGGTCTCCAGCACCACGGCGAGCAAGTCCAGGTCGCTCGGGCTCATGCTCCAGGCAGGCCTTGACCCGATCTACGACGCGACCTGCAAGCCGGTGCTGATGTTGCTGCGTGCGGTCTGGGAGCAGTGGGTGCCGATGCACATGGTGTGGCAGGGCCTAGAGGACAAGCGGCCCGTGTCCTGGGTGCACGTGCAGGGCCCGTGCGCGGCGACGGTGCTCTCCCTCAGGAGGATCGGATGGGACGTCGTCGCCGCCAACCGCTGGGTCATGGACGACGGCGAGGCCATCGCGCCCTTCGACTGCGCGCCGTGGGTCGTGGCCAAGCTGATGAGGAGAGCAGTGCAGCGCTGGCAGTGGAGGCAGGTCAGCAAAGCCCCAGGTTGCGCGCACTTGGCTGGTGGCGGCGAGCTGGAGCCCCTGGTCAGGCTCACGTCCTCTGGCTGTGCCAGGAAAGCCAACGAGCCACGCCGTGAGGAGGGAGCACCTCGCACCAGAGTTCGGTTGACGGCGCGTGAGCAGGCCTACCTGAGGTCCCTCATCATCGACGGGCAGTGGACTCAGGCGCGCAAGGAGGAGAAGGGGCTGGCGCCCAGTGCTGGGTGCCTGAGGTGTGGCGCCAGGGGCACGCTGATGCACAGGCACTTCGACTGCCCGTGCTGGAGTGAGGTGCTGACCGTCCCAGAGGACTTGGCAGGTCTCCGAAGGCAGGGCGGGAGGCCTGAGGTGCAGTTGCTGCTGGAGAGGTGCCTGTGGCCGACACCACGGGGCATCCGCCGCCCGCCAGTGTGCAGCGACGTGTGCTGGAAGGGCGACCATGAAGGAGGCACCCTTCCTGAAGGCGAGCTGTTTCTCGACGGCTCGGCGTTCGAGGCGGACTACGAGGAGGTGGCGGCAGTGGGCTGGAGTGTGGTGGCGCTGCAGGCGCACAGCGACGGCTACAAGGCCTCCATCGCTGGCCAGATGGAGGGCCACTGCGTGGACATCAACGGCGGGGAGCTCACGGCGGTGATCATGGCGCTCAGGTTTGGCCAAGGGATCACGGTGCTGGTGGTCGACTCCAAGTACGTCTACGACGGCTTCTACAAGGTCGGCAGGGTTGGCACCACGGGCTACGCGTACACGTGGGCGCACCTGTGGAGGCGAGTTTGGGACCTGCTGGACGAGCGAGGAGGTCTCGGGCAAGAGGTCAGCCTCAGGTGGATGCCCAGCCACAGTACGCGGCGGCAGGTGGCGGCAGGCGAAGTGCTGCACAGAGATTGGTACGGCAACCGACTGGCTGACAGGGCGGCATAGGCTGCGGCGGCCAGCGGGCGCCTCCCCGCGAGGGACAGAGAGCGCCTGGAGAGGAGCCGTGACGTGGTTGAACGAGCAGCCATGTGGTGCGCGGCTGTCGGCAGCTGGGTCGACGGCAGCGACACCACGCACGGCAAGACGAAGGTGCGGCGAGCCCTGCCAGTGCGCAAGGAGCCAGCGGCGAGGATGGCCTGCGTCTGGCGGAGGCTGCCTGGCCAGCGTCCCTGGTGCGAGGTCTGCAGATGGTCAGGCAGATCAGGTGAGTGCCCTGGCAGCATCGTCGCCGAGGCGATCAGGGCCAACAACAGGCTGAAGGCGCAGCAGAGGGCGTCGCACGACCTGGTGCTCCTTGCGCCTGTGGATTGGAGGATGCTGGTGCGCAGGATGCCGCTGGTCGCTTGCAGGGCGTGCGGCTTCACAGGCGCGGCCAGAGCGAGCTCCTTCCACCTCGAGTGCAGGAGTGTCCCGTCGGCTGCAGGTGCCGCCGCAGTCGCGAGACTGAGGAAGGGGCTGGCTCCGAAGGTGGTCAGTGAGGTGGCAGTCAACATCACGGTGCTGGCGGACGACGTGCAGGAGGGGAGAGGGCAGTCGCCGCGGGACATCGCGGAAGAGGAGGACGGCCACTCCTTGAGGCCGCCAGGAGGAGCTCCAGGTGGTGGGGCAGGGGAGGATGCGGGCTCGCTGCGTCCCCTGACCCCTGAGGGCTCCAGAGCGGCGGCTGGCCTGAGAGGACGAGCTGAGGTCCCTGACGAGCCCAGTGAGCATGACGCGGATCTTTTGACCAACAGTGTGGTAGACAGGACCTCGCAACTAACAGAGCGGACCCATACCCTGGGAAACCGTCAGACTGAACGCGAGGGGGAGGGCTTGGCCCGCGGATACCACGTGAACCGCGAACACAGAGAGTGGCATAGGCGAGGGACCATGCCCGTGCCAGTGGGCAGCAGCACTGTGGATGCGGACAGTGCGAGACTCGGCGTTCCCCCGCGCGGTGAGGGGTTAGACCGCAGCAGGCCCCAGCGTGAGGCGGGACCTGCAGAGGGAGGAGACGAGGTGGCCACAGGTGGCAGCGGCGGCGGTCCGCCCCCGCCGATGATGGCGGACGACGCGCAGGAGGTGAGAGGCCAGTCGCCGCAGGACGTCGCGGGGGAGGAGGACGGCCACGCCCTGCGCAAGCCAGAAGGAGCTCCAGGTGGCGGTGAGGACGCGGGCTTGCTGCGCCCCCTGACCCACGGGGGCTACCGCAGTGCGGCTGGCCCGAGAGGGCGAGCTGACGGAGGGCGTGCAGCCGCAACGCGCCAGGAGGCCGCAGGAGGAGAGGCAGGGCCTGCAGGCGGCGGCGGCGGGCCAGGCCCGCGGCGCCGCGCGGGTGTGCGCAGCAGCTCGCCGAGGCAGGGCGCTCCGACGCCGCCCTCGCTGGCGCTGAGGACGGCGGCCGAGGTAGCCAGGCGGCAGGAGGGCAGCCAGCGGCCTGAGACGGGCCCTGCCGAGAGAGGAGACGAGGTGGCTGCAGGTGGCAGCGGCGGCGGACCGCCCCAGCCACGCGTGGCCAGCGGAGTCCAGGTGCTGGCGGACGAAGCGGAGGACTGCAGCGCAGCGGCTGGCCCGAGCGGGCGAGCTGGCGGCAGGCGTGCAGCCGCGGTGCGCCACGCCGCGGCACGAGGAGAGGCAGGGGCTGCGGGCGGCGGCGGAGGGCCAGGCGCGCGGCGCCGTGCGCGAGTGCGCAGCAGCTCACCGAGGCTGGCCGAGCTGACGCCGCCCTCGCGGTCGCCGAGGCGTGAGGCCAAGGTGGCCAAGCAGCAGGACGAATGGCAGCGGCCTGTGACGGGCCCTGCACAGGCAGGAGACGAGGTGGTTGCAGGTGGCAGTGGCGGCGGACCGTCACAGCCGCGCGAGGCCACAGAGGTCAGGCCGCAGGAGGAGGTCCAGCCGCCCGCAGGGGAACCTGCTGCTCGAAGCGAAGCAGGGGCTGCGGGCGGCGACCACGTGGCCATGGAGAGCGGGCTGCAGGAGGAGAGGATGCCGCCCGCAGGTGGCTCTGCTGCTCGAAGCGAAGCAGGGGCTGCGGGCGGCGGAGGCGGCTGGCCGAGGCCGCGGCGTGGCGCGCGGGAGCGCAGCAGCTCGCCAGGCTTGGCAGCCAAGGTGGCGAGGCTGCTGCGGGCCGCGCGGGGTGAGGCCTAGCCGACAGCCTCGGGTGCGTAGCTGCGCCGAGGCGCGGGCGCGCGTGGGGCGCGCGCCTCGCAGGGGTGGCCGTGGCTCGACGCGGTCCGCCTCACCCCGCGGGCATCATCATCATCCTCCTCCTCCTCTTGCTCCTCTTCCTGGTGAGCGGGCCGCCCAAACCCTGGTCGGCCCAATTGCATTTTGTCAAGGCCGACGCGCCTGTCATGAACCTGGTGTCATCCAAGAACTTCGTCGTCGCGAACGCCGTCGAAGCCATCCTGGCCGTTCCCAGAAAGGGCTCCGACGGAGACCGCGACTACTTGAGGAAGGACGACTTCGGAAAGACGCCGAAGTATTTATCACGGGTGAAGGCCAACATAGACGACGAGAAAAATTACATCGCGAATTTGATGCAGCAGCAGGAGGAGGCGGCCAGGGCCAGAGAACGCCCCCTGGATGAGGCGGAACGTGAGCAGCTCGTCAACGGACTCAAGGAGAAGTGGGAGGGTGTTCAGATGCCTGCGGCAAACCTTGGCACCGTGCCATAGCAGCATCGCAGGAGTGAGGAATTTGACTTTGAGACCAGCTCCAGATCAGTGCTCTGTCTGAGCCGGCGCGGGTCTCAAACGCCCCCTCTTTGTCCTTTCCGTTCCCCCCATCCTTCCTTTTTGAAGCAGTGGCGAAGCGTCTTGACCTGCATACAGGCGCACAAAAGAATGTGTTTGTTAACCCTTCGTGGTTTGCACGAAACGTTCGCAGAACATTTCTGGCTGAGACCGTCTTGTGTTTACACGTCGGCTTTGTGTTATGAATACATTGTTTTCTGCTCTTGCAACATTATTCCCCGAACAGTGCTTGCACTTAGGGGTGCTTACTTGTTTTCTGAGGGACTCGGCCTGCGCGGTGGTCTGGCATCTATGTGGCCGCCGTCGCCGCCCGTCGTCTGAGCCTGCGCGGCGGTCTGGCGGCTATTTGGCCGCCGTCTGCCCCGTCGCCGCCTCGTTGCCGCCCGTCGCCGCCGTCGCCGCTGGATCGCGTTGCATTGCTTTGCATTGCAGTCGCATTGCATTGCTTAGCATTGCTTTGCATTGCAATCGCATTGCATTGCTTTGCATTGGTTTGCAGTGCGTTGCATTGTTTTGCAGTGCATTGCATTGCTTCGCATTGTTTTGCATTGCTACCGCATTGTGTCGCATCGCGTTTGCACTGCTTCGCAGTGCTCTGCGTTGGTTTGCATTGCGTTGCCTTGCATTGTTTTGCCTTGCATTACTTTGTATTGCTAGCACATCATTAGCGCATTGCTTTGTATTGCCCGCGCATTGCTAGCGCATTGCTGTCGCACTGCTATTGACTTGCGTTGCTTTGCATTGGTCTGCATTGGTTTGCATTGATTTGCATTGTGTTGCTTTGTGTATTGCGGTGCATTGCGCTGTATGGTTATTATTATGGCGTTGCATTGCTTTTCATTGCTAGCGCATTGCGTTGTATCGCGCTGCCATTGCGTTTGAATTGTTTTGCATTGTTTTGCATAGCTTTGCATTGCTAGCGCATGGCGTTGCATTGCATTTGCGTTGGTTTGCAGTGCTTTGCATCTCTATGCAACACCTAGATTGCACCTTATGAATTGCAAGAGATCACTGTTTGGGGTCCACGCTGGCTAACATGTTGTTCTAAGCGCATGTCGTGGTAGGCCTATAGGAGTGCCGGCGCGGTCGGTCCCTGCTCAGTTCTCAAAATCACATGATGGGCGGCTTCTTTATGGCATTGTGAGGGCTTCCTGGTTGGAGGCCTGACAGGGTCCCGTCGGTGGTCTCGGGCCCATCTTGAGCGTGATGTGGTTGCCAAGTTCTGCCGTCGTCGTCGTCGTCGTCATCATCAGCATCTGCGCGGGTCTTGAGGCTGTCTTTCTCGGGCAGTTTCGCGTCTGTCTTGAGCCTTACCAGGCCCATCTTGGACCGTCCCAGGGACCTCGCTTGGCTCTTGCGAGCTTTCTTGAGGCGATGTGAGGCGGAACAGCTTTGGAAGCAAATTCCATTGGTTCACCAGATGCGCTTCACTGTGTTTGGCCTCTTCGCTCCTCGTTGGATTGGAGGCTTCTCTGAGCGTCTTTTGGGACCTTCTTGAGGCTGTGGGAGGCCTCTTGAGGACGTCAGAGCCTCTGGGGGCTCGTTGAGCCGTCTTGGGCTGAATCTGGGAGTAGTTCAGCCATGTTGGGTCCGCTTTGGAGCAGTCTACAGGTCGAAAAGGGTGGCGTGGAGCAAAGCCAGGGGCGATATCATGTCATATCAGGACGACGCGGCCGACGAGGGGGGAGGCCAGCCTATAGCAGCTACAGAAGCCCTACCAGGCAGTTCGAAGCATTACAGCATTCCACTATCGTGCAAGAGCGGTGGCGGCTCAACAGACAGTACCAATCCATGGCCCACCTGACGAAGCTCGAAGGGCCACAGATCAGGAGGAAGGCGCGAATGGAGGCGGAGCTCGTCCAGATAGAGAAGGACATCGAGAAGCTGAGCAGGAAAAACATCATAATTCACACCGACTACTGAGACGTGCTTGCAGCTAGCCTTGCTCGAGGGTGGGGGAGAAGGAGAGGAGGAGGAGGAGGTGAAGGAGGACGAGGAGGAGGAGGGGATGAGGAGGAGGAGGAGGAGGAGGAGGAGGAGGAGGGGGAGGAGGAGGAGGAGGAGGAGGAGGAGGAGGAGGAGGAGGAGGAGGAGGAGAGGAGGAGACTGACGAGAGAGAGGAGAAGGAGGAAAAGGAGGAGGAGGAGGAGGAGGAGGAGGAGGAGGGGAGGAAGGAGCAGGATATTGACGAGAGAGAGAGGAGGAGAAGGAGGAGGAGGAGGAGCGAGCAGGATGGGGAGGATGGGGATGGGGAATGGCGCGGCAAGGTCGCGGGGGACGCGCCCCGCCGCTCCCGCCCCCTGGGCCCCCGAGCTGTCAGGGGCCCCTGTATTGTAACTTGCCCGAGCTGTTTTTCGCTGTTGTTTCACGTTTCCCGGCTGTGCTGCCCAGCTGGTCCGGCAACCGAGAGAAGAAACACGGGGACCATGACTGACCAAGATCGACGGTGACCAAGATCGACACGACGTCTCCGCGGGAAATCTTGGTCATGATCCCCGTTTTCTCCCCCTCCAGCCAGCGAGATTCGGGGGCGTCGACGGAGGGGGTGCGTAAAACGAAGGCAGGATCGGGATAAAGTCGGGCCAGGATGAGTCGGGAATCCCTGAGGTCGGGCGGTCCAGATGGATGTATCGGCCTGGGCGTCACGGCCCTCTCGGAGCGTTCTGAAACGCTCCAAGAGCGATCTGGAACGCTCGGAGCAGAGATTGGCAGAGACATGACTTACGCATTGCATCGAGAGGCCCCACATACCATCGATATTCACGGGCTTACGTGGCAAAGCACGCGCGGCGCGGCGCGGCACGCGGGCCGCGAAAATGGCCTTGCGCCACCAGCACGTACACGCAGCATGGCACGCAGGCGACACGTCTTTCGCAGTGTAGAACTTCGGCGTGGCATGGCATGCGAGTGGCACACTTTCCGCATTCTACAATTTCGCGGCACGGCAGTTTTCAGAGGCCCGCGGGGATGTCTTGGGTCGACGCTGGAGCCTCCTTGACAGCACCTCCAGCGCCGCCCCTGGCGCGACCCAAGAAATCTGTGCGGAGCTCCGAAAGTTTATGTTTATACAGGTTTGTGTTCACAGGGGAGTTGTGGGGATGTCGTGGCCGTGGCCCCGCGATCATCCAGGTGTCATGCCCCTGTGTTTTTCTTTCGACACGCCCCATAGCCCAGGGCTCGACCATAACGGTGTTTTGGCAATCTCGTGGACCGATTGCGTTCTGAGTTTGAAGAGCGAACCCACGACGGGCGAAAACGAAAACAAAAATCGTTTAGGTCAAGCCTTGCCCTTGCTCCCCCTCGTAATTTCGGTAGGTTCGCGTCGTGTCGACCGGCGGCGACCCCGCCGCCTGCGTTCCACGTGGAACGCTTCCAGCGACCCAACGCCGGCGTTCAACGTTGAACCCATTCGTGGCCAATGTTCGCCGTGGCCAGAAGAGCCCCCGCGTTCCCCATTCGGCGCCCCTTGTGGTAGCACGATGACTGTACGGTACTCTCGCGTCATGTCGTGCGGCGACCCAGCCGCCGCCGTTCCACGGTGAACGTTGTTGGCGACCCATCGCTGGCATTCAACCATGAATTGATTCGTGGCCGATGTTCGCCGTGGCCAGAAGAGCCCCTGCGTTCCTTATTCGGCGTCCTTGATGGTAGCACGATGACTGTACGGTAGGTTCGCGTCGTGTCGACTGGCGACGACCCCGCCGCCAGCGTTCCACGTTGAATGCCGCCGGTGACCCAGAATCAGTCGATGTTGAACGATCTGACGTTGCGGAAACGGCCGACGCCGAAGTCGGCACGACACGAACCTGCCGTTCGCGCACATGCCTCGGTCGGTGATGCGCCGGCCCCCCTTTTCGGCGCACCCGGGGAGAGACACCCTGTGCGGCCTCGGCGCTGCGAGGTCCACCACCTGTACATCCTGGAGATTTATCTTTGTCTCCTCCGAATTCGCCCCCTGTGCGCCCTGGATCGAAGAAGAAAGAGCGGCATAAACGTAAACTTCTGGAGCTCCTCGCGGATGTCTTGGATCGGCGCTGCGCCCCCCTGGCGGTGCGCCGCCCCTGCTCCAGGGAGGGGGTTCAGCGCAGATCCAAGAAATCCGCGCGGAGCTCCAGAAGCTTATGTTTCTGCAGTTGTTTATTCCTCTGTTGGAGCCCGTCGCTCAGACCTTCTCTTGCGGGCCTCCAGGAACGCGGCGGTGCCGCGTGCTCTTGAGACGCTGTCGAACATCTGCCCTAAGGATGGATCGGAGGAAGAAACGCGACGGCCATGCCTAATGATGTTGCGAGATCTTGTCCACGGCTGTCTTGGTCATGGTCTGGCCGTCGCCACTGTGCGAGGATGCTCCCCGAATAAACTGTGACCAAGATGAACGGTGACCAAGATAGACACCAACGTCCAACGTCTGTGCGTTCAGTCTTTGCCATGGTCGCCGTGTTCTCCTCCGCCTCTGGAGCAGTACAGGCCGCGTGTGCTGCCCGTGCTGCTCGTGCATGACACGCCTCTGTGGATTTCCAGAGCCCAAAAAAAATCCACGCGCTTTGCTACCTCAACAGATCGAAGGGGCTTCGTGGCTCTGCCTGCCTCTCCCCGCCGGCCGGCGCCCCCAGCCTTCTGAGCTCTTGGGCCCGCCCCGCAGTTCTGGGCGCCCAGGTATTCGGCACGGCACGGACTTCTCGATCGGCCCTTCGGGCGTTGCGCAATGGGGGGGCGATAGTCCGCGGGGAGTTTGGGGGGGAAGTGACAAAGGAGGCCTGTTCAGAAGGCTGCGGGGCTTCTCAGAAGCCCTCGCGCCTTCTGGGAAGCTTTTCGTGTCCTCGGAGAAGGCTTCGAACATTTCTCAGAAGAGAATGCCCGCCCCGTCTGACTTCCCCCCTTGGCTCGCTGCCAAGACAAATGGGGAGCGAAGAGGAGTACACCTTTTGTACCCTAAAGGGGCCCTCTGGGGCCCAACAGGGGCACGAAAGGCGCACGTTTCTTCGCCCTCCCCTTTGATCGTTCCCCCCTGAAGCAACGCCCAAGCCCTGTGCCCTTGCCCCGCGTCCGTCTTTAAAGGAAACTAGCAACTGCATAAACAGGAGCTTTCGGAGCTCCTCGCGGATTTCTTGGATCGGCGCTGGACCCCCTCCCTGGCGCGCGGAGCGCGCCAGGGGCGGCGCCGGAGGCGCCCGCCGCCAGGGGAGCCCAGCGCCAGTCAAAGAAATACGCGCGGAGCTCAGAGTTTCTGGTTCATGCCGTTCCTTGTTCCCCGAGTCTCCGCACCACCGTGTCGCTCGGACGCGCGTGCGGATTGCCTCTCCCGCGCCGCGACGGAAAAAAATGTTCCCCGAGTCTCCTCCACGACCGTGTGGTGCGTCCAGGAGGGCTGCGCACCACAGGGAGTCGCGGGCCGTGCCACTCATGGGGCTTCGGTGCCGTGGGGTGGGGCAGTCTCGATTCTCTCCAGGTGTGCTTCCCGAGTTGGCCTCACCAGCTTCGGGGACCATCACGTTCCCGAGCACCCCGGACGGGGGGGGGGTCTTGGGGCGGGGCGTCGAGACGCGGCGGTAGCGGCTTGTGCGCCCGATCGGGGGAGTTCCTGAACTCTCAGCGCGTGGCGTGGCCGCGTGACGAGGATCAAGGGAGGAAAAGGCATCCCGACCCCCACAACTGCTAAACGCCCCTGGACGTCACTGAAGGGCCCTGCGCTGCGCCATCCGGTTCACATCGGAGTGGCATGCTTTCGAGGGCCGTGTGGTGTTTCCAGGGGCCCTCGTCTTTCCTGCTGGCGCTCAGTCTCATGCTTGCCTCCACCCGTCTGGAAACTCCCTGGGCTCCCCGAGGTTTCTGAGGCGATGTTCAGATGCCCAAGCCGATTTCCACGACGGTTCGAGGAGGTCCATTCGGGCGGTCCTAAGAGGGCTATCCAAGAGACCTCAACACAGCGCCTAGATAGTAGAAGTTGTATGGAAGCTAGATGACACACGAGATGTTTCAGTGCTGTGTGTTGTTAAATGCTTTTCGTTTCAAAATGGCACTTGGAGTGCTCAAGCGGACCCACGACTGCCCCAGAGTGGCCAATGAACTTCCGAAGAGGCCGCCAAGACGCCCCAATAGGGCCCCCAGAGGGCTCCAAGAGGTCCTTCAGGCGCCTTAAAAGGCCTCAAGACGCTACAAGAGGCATTGCAAAAGCCTAACCCCCCTTCCCCCCTCTCTCTCTCTCTCTCTCTCTCTCCGTTCCACTCTCTCTCTCTCTCTCTATCTCTGTCTCTATCTCTTCCTTCCTCTGTCTCTCTCTCTCTCTCTCTCTTTCTCTTGTTTTTTGTTTATCTCTCTCTTTTCTTTTTTTTTCTCTCTCTCTCTCTCTCTTTCTCTCTCTCTCTCTCTCTCTCTCTCTCTCTCCGTCGGCATGGTACGGACTGCCTTGTCCCCACTGGGGTAGCGAGGTGTTTCAGTACGGCCTAGCTGGATGCGGTTGAGAAGCGCGGCACATGTTATCTCGTGTTTCGACATTCTCGAGCCAGCGGGAATTTGTGGCGCATTGTACGGCCCCCTCAGGGCCCAGAGACGCGAAGTGCCATGTTACATGATTCTTGCGACTCGAACGGTCGACACAGAACGATGCGCTGGCACAGTTGCAAGCTGGTGGCGCCGTGCGGGGGGACAACGGACAGCATCCTCCCTCCTCCCTCGTCATCCCTCTTTCTCCTCCACCTCCTTCCTCCCCTTCCGCCTATACCCCCCCCATGTTCATGCGCGTACACATCCGTGCCAGTGAAGCGACAGCGACATCCTCCTCCTGCATCTCCTCCCTCTCCGCCTTCCTCCGCCTGGGTAGCAGCAGGTTCCGCTGATGAGCGCCTCCCCGAATAACGTTTCTGCAATCGTGAGTCGTTCTCCTCGGGGCCTTCCTAGCCTGGCCTTGCTGTATTCCTAGCCCCACGATGTCGTGATTTGTTCGCACCCCCTGAGGTCTCGACCATTTCCCAAGAGACCCGCTTTCCATCCTGAGCCGTTCTTGGACGGCCCCCGGGCCCAGCGAGGGCCCTCAGAGTCCGAACACTGCAAGAAGCCTCCTGCTGCTGGTATTCTCACGACGTTGAGGGTTGTGGGCTCCGTGTCCTTCCCCCCGGCAGACGGACTGGCTCTTCGACGAATTGCAATCCAACCCCCCTCGATCCTCGACGATCCTCCTCCTCCTCCTCCTCCTCCTCCTCCTCCTCCTCCGCCTCCTCCTCCTCCTCTTCCTTTTCCTCCTCCTCCTTGCCCCCCGCCCCCCCGCGCCGTGGGCTCAGAAGGGCGACCTTGGAGGGTGGAGGCCCGCGCCAGTGTCCCACCGATCGGGGCGGCCGGGCCACGCCAGGCCCGCGGGGCGCGGGCGTTTGGGGGGGGGGCAGCGCCCCGTCTCGCGGAGGGGGTCGGCAACCCGCAGAGGGGGCAGTCAGGGGGGAGGGGGGAAGGCTTCTTAGAATGAGGCTGCTTCTTCGGAGGCGCGGGCCTTGTCTATGGATGCAAGGCTGGCGCCTTCGAAGGAGCAGCATCCTCCTAAGAAGCCTTCCCCCTCCCCCTACGCCCTCGTGCGCGCCGACAAGGGGGGCCAGACGGCCCAGCGGTTCCCAGGCATGCTGGTGTCCTTCGGACGTTGCGTAAGTCAACTGCTCGTGAGAATGACCCTTCGCCCGAGTGACCTTTGGGCCCACAGGAGTCCTCCAAGCACTGGCTTGCGCGCTTGAGTTTGGTCTAGCCGCGGCCCCTTAGAGCCGCGCACCAGCGGTCACTCTTTCCTAGGGTCACTCTTGCGTGTAGTCGAGTAATGGGGGTGGCGATAAATTCTAGGCCTCCCAAACGGGGTCGGAGGATCGCGCCGCATCGCCGATGCATCGGCGATGCGTCTCGATGTGGAACCCGATTCTCTCCACGCCGGCGTCGCCGCTGCATCGCCGATGCACCTCCGATGCATCGACGATACATCGACGATGCATCGCCACTGCATCGGCGGTGCGGCGAGATCCTCCGACCCCACCTACTCCACCTATTCCGACCCCATCTGCGAGGCCTCTCTAAATGGGGAGGTGAAGAAAGGTGCATGTGTTTTGTTTCTTTAATGGGCCCCCCTGGGCCCCAAGAGGGCTACCATTAATGGCCACTCCATTGAGCAACGCCAAAGCGTCGTCACAAAAATCATGACGGACGGCTTTTCGCTGTTTTCGGCCTCTAGAGGGCCTCGCCGGGCCCCGGGACCGTCAAAGAACGACTCCCGATGAAAAGCTAGTCCCCTTCGGAAGGGATCCAGACTTCTGGAGATCACGTCATCAAACATGATCGACCCACGAACCCGGAAAGGAATCTAGTATTGTAAGGTATGGCAACGTTTCAAAGACGTTTGATTTGGCGACGGGCAAATCCAATGTTGAGTGTATCGATCTTGATGTACCGTGCCGAGGGTTGAACTGTGCTGCGCCGTGCTGAATTGCGATGTGCCATGCAGCGATTGTGCTCTATAGCGTTGTGGATCGAGTCCTCATATGCATCCGAGTCCTGACCGAACTGATCTGGATCTGAAGATCGAGCTGCCTGTGCACATAGTAGCTGCCCCAGAGCTAATTGACAGGGGGACATGCCAGGAGGACGCACCGCGGAACGTCCCACGCGACGCGCCAGGCGACGTGCCAGGGACGTGCCAAGGGGACGCACCGCGGGACGTGCCAAGGGGACGCTTTACGGAGCGTGTCAATGGACGTGCCACGGGACGTGCCAGGGGACGCGCCACGCGACGTGCCAGGGGGACTCGCCACGGGACGCGCCACGGAACGTGCCAAGTTGCAATGTTGAGTGTATCGATCTTGATGTACCGTGCCGAGGGCTGTGCTGAGCTGCGCCGTGCTGAATTGCGATGTGCCATGCCGCGATTGTGCTCTATAGCGTTGTGGATCGAGTATTCCTCTGCATCCGAGTCCTGACCGAACTGATCTGGATCTGAAGCTCGAGCTGCCTGTGCACATAGTAGCTGCCCCAGAGCTAATTGGCAGGGGGACATGCCATGAGGACACGCCGCGGAACGTCCCGAGGGACGCGCCAGGCGACGTGCCAGGGACGTGCCAAGGGGACGCACCGCGGGACGTGCCAAGGGGACGCGCTACGGAACGTGCTGGGCGACCTGGACGCGTGAAAACAGTCGTTTCGCTCGAGACATGTTGCCCAAATCTTAATGCTAGACATCCGCCTGGGCGACCTGGACATGTGAAAACAAGCGTTTCGCTCAACACATCCTCATGCTAGACATCCGCCTGAGCAAGGACACGTGAAAACAAGTTGTTCGCTCGAGACATCCTCAACACATGTTCATGTTAGACGTCCGCCTGGGTGACCTGGGCACGTAAAGCAAGCGTTTCTCTCGAGACGTTCTCGACACCTCCTCATGCTGGACATCCGACTGGGCGACCTGGACACGTGAAAGCAAACGTCTCGCTCGAGACATCCTCAACACATCTTCATGTTACACATCCGCCTGGGCGACCTGGACACGTGAAAACAAGCGTTTCGCTCAAGACATTCTCAACACATCCTCATGCTAGACATCCGCCTGGGCGACCTGGACGCGTGAAAACAAGCGTCTCGCTCGAGACATCCT